AGCCACACACACAAACACAGACACACAGACAAGCAGACACACAAACACACATAAAGACAGAGGCCTGATAGCGGTCCCAAAAGTGTTTAAGGCCTACAAGCACCTTTGCATATTTTTGTGCCCGAGGCCGCACACAGACACAGACACAAACATACACTCATAGGCACGCACACAAGAACACAGGCACACAGACATACGCAGACGTTCAGACAGAGACACACACACACACAAACAGAGACACACACAGACACACACATAGACACACACACAGACACACACACATGCACACACACAAAAACACAGGCTTGAAGTGCTGATAAGTTTTCCCAAGAAAATCACGGGCCTTTAATCACTGGTAGACACATACACAAGAACACATGCACACAGACACACACACACAAGGACACAGTTAGACACACAGATACATGCACACCGACACACACAATGACAAAGACACGCACAATCCGTGTCTGTGTTCGTATGTCTTTTTGTGCACCACACACGAACACAGACACAACCCGTATCTGTGTGCGTCTATCTTTTTGTGTCTGTTTCCGTGCCTGTGTCTGTCTGTGCACAGTGGCTCAGACTAACGCAAACACATTCCCAGAACTGTTGTAGGCCTTTAACCACTTTCGTCTATGGCAGTCAAGTTCACACACAGACACACGCACACAAGGACACAGTTAGACATACACAGACAGACACACACACACACACACGCAAACACAGGTGCACGCACACAGAGATACACACGCACACACACACACGCACACACACACGCAAACACAGGTACACGCACACACAGACACACACGCACACACATACACAAGGACACAGTTAGACACACACAGACACACACGCACACACACACACACAAAGGCACAAACATACACTCGCAGGCACGCCCACAAGAACACAGGCACACAAATATTCAGACATAGACACACACACACACACAAACAGAGACACACACAGACACACACACAAAAACACAGGCTTGAAGTGCTGAAAAGTTTCCCCAAGAAAATCAAAGGCCTAAGATCACTGTTAAACACACACACAAGAACACAGGCACAAAGACACACACACGAACACAAGAACAGGCTTGTATTGTCAAAACGTTTCCCCAGAACCAACACAGGCATTGAATTACTCTCGCCTAAAAACACAGGTTTGTATTGTCAACCAGTTACCCCAGACGCACACAGACACACACAAACATAAAAACATAAAGACACAAGCTTGTATTGTCAATTAGTTTCCCCAGACGCACACAACCAGACACACACACACACACACACACACACACACACACACACACACACACACACACACGCGAACACACGCCTGCCACACACACAGAGGCACACAGACACACACACACACACACAAAGACAGCCATACACACAAACAGAGACACACAGACACACATGAAAACAAAGGCCTAGAAGTGGTCCCAAAAGTGCTTATGGCCGACAAACACCTTTGACTTGCCTGCCACACACACAGAGGCACACACACAGTTACAAACAACGACGCACACACAGGCACAGACCCACACACAGACACACACACACACGAAGAGCAACACACACAGACACACATGGGCACAAGGAGACATACACAGACACACACAGACACACACGGGTACAGAGCCACACGGGCAAAACAAGCAGGGGTGCAAGGGCCCTGTAACCAGTCTTACCGTGGTTGACATTTGCTTTGGATGGCTCTTTGCGTGTAGTCCATTCGTGACGATGAAGACATCCTAAGGCGCGAGGGGTGCGAGCAAGGGGAGGAGTGCAAGAAGAACCGGCACAGTGTCTTCTCGGGGGCAGCCGGCGTGCTCCGAAGGGGTTGTGCAGCAAAGGCGGCCACCGGAGCAGGATGATTTTCCCCAAATGGGAGAAGGAGATGAGGATGAATATGTTTTAGAAGAAGGAGAGTTCGTGGCAGGAGAAGGCGTAGGAGAGGAAGACAAAGGAGAGGGAGAGGAAGGAGAGGGAGAGGAAGAGGAAGAGGAAGGAGTAGAAGAAGAAAAAGAAGAAGAAGAAGAAGAAGAAGAAGAAGAGGAAGAGGACGAGGAAGAAGATCCAATGGAGGAGGACGGCAGCTGGCAGAGAGAGTTCCTCGAGTCGAGGCCCGTTCGCAGCGACTTCAAGTACTTCTTTTGGGCCGTGTACGTCACAGCTGGATTACATTATCTTCACGTCAAGACCAGCGGCAACGGTGTCTATGCATGAATCGGAGAAATTTTATTTGCAGCGCACGTGACGGAAAAATATCTCATCGCGGAGTTGTGGGTCGTTATCAAGGGCAAACTCACTAAATGTCTGTTGAAGGGGGATAAAGTAATGCCCATGAAGATGCCCATCCAAAACAGAAAATTGTTGGCATTAAACAAGACTGGTTGCATGGTAAATGCTCTCATCTCCCCTAATTCCCACTGCATATCTCTCTTCGCAAGAAGTTGCAGAGCTGCAAGTTTCATTCCGTTTCTTTGAAGCCGTAACCGGAAGGAATAGGCCTAAGACTTTCACGGCGTATCCGAGAGTTATAGGCCTACAACTACCGGATACGTTGTGGAAGTTATAGGCCTATAACTACCGGTAACGCCGTGGAAGTTATAGGCCTATAACTACCGGATACGCCGTGGAAGTTACAAGCCTGAACCTCCATGGCCTTTCTGAAAGTTATAGGCCTATAACCTCCATGTTATTTCCGACAGTTGTAGGCCTGTAACTTCCACTACGTCTTCCTTGTTTCTGGGAAGTTATAGGCCTATAACATTGATTGCGTCCTCCTCGTTTCCAGAAGTTTGACTCTTTGAGGTTGCAGGCCTGTAATGTTTTTTCACATTTGCGTTGTTCTATTGCACTTGTCGTACGCAGTGTTGCTCTAAGTATGTGTTATAGGCTTATAAGTTTCTCTAACACACTTGGTCGACCATTGTTTTTTCTTCTGCTTCCAATGTGTTGCACAGCCGTTCGTGGAAGGACTTTCTGAGTTCTTACGGGCAAATTTGGACGAGAAACTTCTTCCTTTAAAGTATGCAGAGGAAGCAGAAAAATCACAAACTCCGACGACGATGACGACGACGGCCACAAAGGGTGGCTCGAAAGCGAGGTCGAAGTGCCCCAAAGATGTGATTTCTCCTCACACCATTGTTGGGTCTTCCGGTAGTCTGGAAAGGTGATCGGGCACAAAGACGATTCCCGGGAAGATTCGCGGGAAGAAAACAGTCACACCGGGTCCGCCTCGTCCGGAAGGGTAAGGGGAGGGGAAGGGAAGGGAAGAGGAACTCCAAGTACCCCAAGGTTTCGTGCCGAACGAGCGCACATAAAATTTGACAAAAACTTGGGAGGAGTTGAAGAGTTTGAAGGAGAAGAAACTTTCACACGAGTCCTTTTACCTGCCGATGAGATGTTTGAAGAGGTCACCCCTGGTGAATGGGAAAAGACCAATGGAGGTGAGAGAGTCGGACGAGGACCATGTGAAGTCCATCATGGACTCCATGTTGAAGCAGCCAACTGGAGATCATCTTCCCTTCGTTGGCCTCGTCGACCCTGCCCAGGCCGGGTCCAAAGAAGATGTGAGCTTGACGAAACTGAGACCCGGTGACTACGACATTTTTGTGTTTGGTGGTGGCCACAGTCGGGAAGCGAGGGAGCGGTTAGCACGCATGAACCCCGACAACGAGGAGTACCAGTACAATGTGTGCTATGTTTACGTTGGCCTCACGATCGATGAGGCGAGGTAGGTTGCCCACAGGCATAACCTTGCGGCGGGTTACCACAGGGACTTGAGCTTCATCGAGAAGCTCAGGTGCTGGCGCCAAGTCTTTGAGAGCAGGGGGTGCGTCAGGTCGCAAGAAGTGAAGCTCGCTTGCCAGAAAGAAGCAGCGATTCCGAACGCGGTCACCGTGAAGAAATTGAACGCCCAAGACCCGTTGCTGCAGTGTGCTTTCAAACCCCAAGAGATTTGGGAGCTCATGTGTAAGATCATGAGCATGTGGCAGAAGGGCGAGGTCAAAGGCCAAAAACTGAAGCCGGCTGCGACGAGCTTCTTGAAAGCGGACCAGGATCTGGAAACGAGCGAGTCCGAGGGCGCGAAGAAAAACCAGCGTGGGAAGAGGCTTGATAGGGCGGCTGCGAAGGAACAAGAAATGGCGCTTCTTTATCCACGGGTGCGACTGCAGGGTAACAAGGTCCCCATGGTCGCCGAGGACATGCCAGCGCAACACTGGATAGCCATGGGTAGTATGGCTCCAGAGAACGTCGTCCCTATCCTCCTTGAGGTCATTGCGAAGCACATCTCGCTCAAGGAGATGGAGACGAAGTTCCAACTTGTCAAGCAAATTGCCTACGTCTGCAAGGCATTCGCAGTGGGGGTGGGCGCTGCTGACTTCAAGGACGCCGAGAAGGAGTATCCTCTCCACACAAGGAAAGAGATTTCGGAGAAGTTCGTTGGTGGCATCAGAAGGGGTCAGACGAGTATCCCCGCACTGGATGGCCATATTAAACGGGCCATTGAATGGAAGAACAAGGAGAGGAGACTGCAAGCGAATAACGCTATTCACGCGTTCYGTACGAAACCTCTCGTGGAACCGTTCGTCGAGTGGACGGAGGTGACACACGACAACGACTCGGCGGAAGTGAAAATTATCAATGGCGACATGCGCTTGTTGTCGAAGCTGCAGACAGAAAAACTGTCGTCTGGCTATTTTCGACTTCCCTTACGGGTTCGCGCACGAGGGCCACGCATCCGATAATGAGCCGTTTCCGGAGTCGGACGTTGTGGAGGTTCTTCACAATCTGAAGGACGTTTCCAGTGCCCCGTTGTGGATAGTTGCGGGATTATGTTCCGTGGACATGCTTCCTTCCATCCGTTCCGCGTTCCAGGAGGTTTGCAATGCAGGGCAGAAGCTTTTGACGTGGTGCAAGCCTAATGTGACGAATCCGGGTGGGCCGCGGCTTGTGAGTGCGACCGAATTCTGTGTGCTGGGCTACTACAGTGAGAGTGGGCAGCGCGAGATGGCGCATTATAATTTTGATCCCACTGATATGCGTCACAATTTCCAGCTCTTCAATGCTGTGACGCAGAAGTACCAGCACCCTGGTGGCGGTGTTCTCTGCCCGTACCAGAAGCCGTATACTTTGTTCTCCTGGCTTGTGAACAAATTCTCTCCCGCATGGGCCTACGTTCTGGATGGTTTCTCCGGTTCTGGCACAGGCGCCATAGCGTGCGTCAAGGCAAATCGGAATTGCCTTGTGGTCGAGATAAACACCAAGTGCGCTAAGGGCATCGCCACGAGGCTTCTGACAGACATCGGTGACACACTTGCGCGCGAAACGCCAAAGCGGAAAGAAAAGGTCGCACAAGGCAGCCCGACCTCTAAGTTGTCTGGGGATACGAAGTCTGCCGGAAATGAACTCGTGCTCGACGAAAACACGGGCACTGCTGCTGGAGTGGCGGATAACGCTGAGGCTGTCGTTGTCGGGCCGTCAGGTGCGAGTTTGCCCACTGCCGAGGCTGCTGCCGGCCCGTCCGGTGTGGAGCAAACTGTTACCGGTGCTAAGCCCGCTTTCGTTGTGTCTCTTCCCGGTGAGGGTAGACCCGTGACTGCTTCCATGCCTGAGCCCAACGTTGTTCCTAAAGCTAGACCAGAGGCTGAGCCGCAACCTGCGTCCTGGCTTGTTCCCGCTGCTGCAAATGCTCAGCAGAGCATCTTGAGCCTCGCCATGAGCCAGGAATCGAGCAGGACCACGGCTGGCAACGAAAGGCAGGCGGTGAAGAGGTGTCGAGTCCGCATGGTGGGGTAGTGATTGGCCTCGAGGCCAATACTCGCTCACGGACTGCGAAGTGACTGAGGCCACACCGTATCCTTTGGATATAGGCCTATATGTCATGTGGGGACACACACTTTCGATATAGGCCTATATTGCATGTGTGGCCTCAAACCACACATGCAATTTAGGCCTACATTGCATGTGTGGACACACGCTTTACATATAGGCCTATATTGCATGTGTGGCCTCAAGTCGCTTTCGTGTTCTGCCGACTCTCCCGTCTCGGTCGCTTCTTCTCCTTCCGCTTGTTCTTTTCACCATGAGTAGCCTCAAACCAMGGATYGCCCRCGACAATGACAAAAGGTMCAGGAGCTGCCCTTTTTTTGCGACGAATAATGATTTGCTTGGTACATTCCGGTCAAAGAGCCGAAGCAGGATCGACAACGATCCATGTAGCAAGGATTGCGCCTTTCGCAATTGGTGCGAGAGGAGAAACCAAGTTATATTCGTTCACGAGTCTCCTGTGTGGATTCCTGTGGTTTGTGGTCTTGGAGTTGCCATTCGTTGATGTCAAATAATGATTTGTTTGGTGCGTTCCTATCAAAGAGCCGGAGCAGGATCGACAACGGTCCATGTAGCAAAGATTGCGCCTCTCGCAATTGGTGCGAGAAGAGAAACCAAGCCGTATTCGTACACGAGACTCCCCTGGTGTGTGCTGCTTTGTCCGCATCCCTCCCGGGATTGATCGCCGCCCCTGCGTTGTCGGAATATGTGTGCTGCTTTGCCTGGATGCCTCTCCCAGGATTGGTCGTCGTCCTTTCGTGGTTGGAGCTATGTGGTTTGGCACATGGCTTCGTTTTCCGTAGAATTGTTATTGTGTAGAGTAGGCTAGCTTTCTGTTTTTTAGGTCGTGGAAGTGGGAACCATGTGTTCCGTTGTGTATTGTAGCCATTTAGAGGAACGAGGGCACATGGCTACATTTTTTTGCAGAATTGTTATTGCGTAGAGTAGGCTAGCTCTTTCCCTTTTAGGTCGTGGAAGTGGGAACCAGGCGCACTCGGTTCGTGAGTCAGACCGCAATAGGTTGACAATTTTGAGAGTGTCATCATTACTGGGAACCATTTGTTCCGTTGTACTGGGACCATGTGTTCCGTTGTACTAGGAACCATGCGTTCCGTTCACAATTTTGAGAGTGTCATCATTACTGTGAACGAGGCCTGGGGAGGTCCACCCATGGGCACTCGCCATAGGTGTGGTAGTTTTCGGTGCATTGTGGTACTTTAGTTTACATGTGGAGTGACTTAGTGGACCATCTCTGGTTTACTTCTTTTGTCGGATTTGGTTTGATAACCCTCTCATTTTCATTCGTGAGTTTTTGTTCACTTACCTTTGGGTGGACGACCTCTCTCTCTCTCTCTCTCTCTCTCTCTCTCTCTCTCTCTCTCTCTCTCTCTCTCTCTCTCTCGTAAAAGGTGTCTCAGGCTAACAAAACAGTGTTATAGGCCTATAATCACTAAAGGCCTTTAATCACTTTCTGTGTCAGTCGAGCTAACAGACAGACACACGCACACACAGGTACACATACACACAGACACACACACACAACTGCGCACACATAGACAACCACACACACAAACACAGTCACACAAAAACATATAAAGACAGAGGTCTGGAAGTGGTCCCAAAACACCTTTGCCTTGTCTGCCACACTCACACACATGCACACACATAGACACGAACAACCACGCGCACATAGACACAGATAAACGTATTCGGGGGTTTTCCGAACGCTCAAACATGTTCCGGGACATATTCTCTCAAACCTGAACGAACATATTGTTTTCTACTAAACAGGTGTACCTCCCTGGCACAAGTTGATTGTATTCTTACTTAAAATAACATATCCTTTTTGCTAAGGGTATTTTTGTGAACTCAAAATTGATGTTTAGTCCTGAAAATTCGTTTCCGAAGATCTTGGTTTTCACCTAGCTGCTGAACATGGCTGCCTGTGGCGCACTTAATGCCAACGGAATGTGATTAGCGGGGTCTATGACCAACACGGGTGTGAGTGGGAGCGCGAGTGGGTTGTGTGTGGTGTGTGGGAGAGTCTTGGCCAAAGCCTCTGCTGCTCCTCGGTGAAGGGTGGGGGACGATGAGAAAGGGCGGTACAGCTATAGGCAGGTCCCGGTCTTTGTGTTACGGACGATGAGCTAACGACAAGTGTTTGTGGTCTGTGTATGGGGTCTTCGCCCTTAGAAAGAAAGGAAAACAAGAAGGAAAAAAAGAACTCACCACATTCACACACACACGCACACGGATGTGCATAAACACACACATGATTGGTTGATTGGTTGATTGATTGATTGGTTAGATCCACCAGCCTCAAGTACGCAAACACAGACACGCAGACACAGACACACACACAAACAGAGAGGCACACACACAAGAACGCAGACACACAGACACACAGAGACACACACAAACACACAGACATAAAGACACTGGCTTGAAGTGTCGAAAATTTTTCACAGAACTATTAGAGGCCTTTAATCACTTCCGCCTACGCCAGTCGTGTTCGTACACAGGCACACGCACACAAGGACACGATTAGACACACACAGACACACGGACACAGACACACACAACAACACATGCACACAGACACGCACGCAGACACGGACACAGATACATACACACACAGATACATTCAACGACACACGCACACAGACACATACGGACACACTGACACAGTCCGTGTCCGTGTTTGTATGTTTTTTGTGTACACACATGAACACAGACTCAGCCCGTGCCCGTGTTTTCATGAGCATGTGTTTCTGTGTGTTTGTGTCTATTTCCGTGTGTGTGTCTTTGAGTGTGTACACTGGCACAGACTAACAAGATAAGCACACACACACAAAGTAACATTCCCCATAACTGTTATAGGCCTATAATCACTTTCGTCTGTGCCAGTCGAGTTTACACATAGATACACGCACGGAAGGACACAGTTAGACACACACAGACAGACACAACCACACACACACAACCAAACACACAGGCACAGACGCACACAACCACACACAGATACACACACACACACGCACGCACACAGATACATACACACATACACAGATACACACACACACACACGCACACAGAAACACACACACACACACACACACAGATACACACAGACACAGACACACACACACACACACACACACACACAGATACACACACACACAGACACACACACACACACACACACACACACAGATACACATACACACAGACAAACACACACAACCGCGCACACACAGACAGCCACACACACAAACAGAGACACACAGACAAACACATAAAGACAGAGGCCTGAAAGTGGTCCCAAAAGTGTTTAAGGCCTGCATGCACCTTTGCCTTGCCTGCCACACGCACACGGACACGGACACAGATACATACACACACAGACACATTTAACGACACACGCACACAGACACATACGGACACACTTACACAGTCTGTGTCCGTGTTTGTATGTTTTTTGTGTACCACACACTAACACAGACTCAGCCCGTGCCCATGTTTTCATGAGCATGTGTTTCTGTGTGTTTGTGTCTATTTCCGTGTGTGTGTTTTTGAGTGTGTACACTGGCGCAGACTAACAAAACAAGCACACACACACAAAGTAACATTCCTCATAACTGTTATAGGCCTATAATCACTTTCGTATGTGCCAGTCGAGTTTACACACAGACACACACACAGAAGGACACAGTTAGACACACACAGACAGACACAACCAACAACACACAGGCACAAATGCACACAACCACACACAGATACACACACATACACGCACGCACACAGATACACACACACACAAATACACACACACACACACGCACACAGAAACACACACACACACACACAGATACGCACAGACACAGACACACACACACACACACACACGCACACACAAGTACACATACACACATACAAACACACACAACCGCGCACACACAGACAGCCACACACACAAACTCAGACACACAGACAAACACATAAAGACAGAGGCCTGAAAGTGGTTCCAAAAGTGTTTAAGGCCTGCATGCACATTTGCCTTGCCTGCCACACGCACACGGACACGGAGAAAGACACATACACACACAGACACATTCAACGACACACGCACACAGACACATACGGACACACTGACACAGTCCGTGTCCATGTTTGTATGTTTTTGTGTACCACAGACGAACACAGACTCAGCCCATGCCCGTGTTTTCATGAGCATGTGTTTGTGCCTATTTCCGTGTGTGTGTCTTTGAGTGTGTACACTGGCACAAACTAACACAAGCACACACACACAAAGTAACATTCCCCATAACTGTTATAGGCCTTTAATCACTTTCGTATGTGCCAATCGAGTTTACACACATACACACGCACAGAAGGATACAGTTAGACACACACAGACAGACACAACCACACACACACAACCAAACACATAGGCACAAACGCACACAACCACACACAGATACACACACACACACACACACAC